GTTTTATTTTATAAAACCATGTATTTCTCCCAAAAAAACGTATTGATTTTGGTAAAGGTTTTCTGAATTTAAACTTTTGTCAGTATAAGAAATCAGTTATTTCACTGAAAATGTGTTGAAATATATCAGTTTAATGTTTTGACCTCACTCTTTAAGAAAGACAGATTGACTGAATTGGATTACGTTTTGGTTTAAATTAGTTTCTGTGTGGGACCATTAAAGGGTTAATCTAAGTAATTTATGTCAGAACTGAGGAGAAGACACCATATGATCCTGTAAACACCACACAAAGAAGTGGCCTTTTCGCAGCAGCACAGACATTTAAAAGAGAGAAAGACCTCACTCTTGTGCTTGTTTTAAGAATATGGTATCTTGGTTATTTGAAGTAATGAAAGCTGGTCCATGCAGTCATTTTAATCGGCCTAACAGATCTCACCCAGGCCTGTTTCTCTCTGCGTACTTGATATGAAAAAAAATCTAATTCAGACTGAAGTGCCTCCTTGTTAGCATGATCTCCCAGACAATGCCCACACCGACATCAGCACTTTGTTTATTCTCTGACTGTCATGCTCTGTTTGTTTCGCTGGGAACGCGTCAACACAAACACACACACACAGACTCACAGTCTTTTCAGAAGTGGAGGGAACGAGGGGTGTGATTCTTGTGATGTATAGCAAAGTGCTGAGTGCATGTGAAAGCCAAACCCACTGTGTCCTATAGTCCCAATAAACTCTGTGCTATAGTTTGAGTATCCACAGTTTGTCCGTGTCTTTTGTTTTCTTCTGTCCTTGAGACCACATAACATTTATTTGGTCACAGTCAAATGCATGTAAATGATTGGAGATATTATTTCCCTATAGTTCTTCATGTCAGTGGAACAACAGGAGGCACAGCTCTCATTGCTAGAGGCACAGTACTCTACAGTTTTTCAATACCTAAATATCATGACCATTTTCTATTTTGAAAAGAGACATTAGGGATACAACATATCCTCACAGTTACATATACATTTAAAGACAGCTATTGAGCAGTTGCATCATAAGGTTTCGAGAGTGCAAAATATAGACCCCTTGTTGTAAATTACAGTTAACCTCTTAGACCCCACGGACCCTTCGGCGGGTCCGAAACCACAACATCTGAGGGTCTAAGGATAGAGGGTGTCGTTTTTCTCCTACTGATATTCTGAACAATCTGTGCTGTTGTATTTGCTGTAAAGTGTCTCTACTGTAGGCTATTTTTATTTTATGTACAGCACTTTGGCTCGACCAAAAATCGTTTATAAATGTGCTATATAAATAAAACTTGATTTGATCTGCAAGCAACAGTGTCTGAGGGCTTCTTAAGATTTAATAAACTATGAATGTTTCATATCCATGTAACGGGAAGAAACTCAGCTAACTGATGTTTTTATTTATTTTTTGCAAAAAAAACACAAATCTAACGCTGAGCCTCTGAATTAGCCCTGTGTGAAAAAATATTAACGCTGTTAGTACAGAACTCTAGCTATACCGATCGATATACTTATTGGATCTGCACAAACAAGCTTAGATAACATCCTGAGAGTCCACAGATTGTAGAAATAAGGATCATCACTGAGCGATCAGAACTCGTGACAGGGGAAGCAAATACAGACAACACACAACGTAGCTTTAGGTAGCAAAACACGGAGATATGCTCACTTTAGCTGTTATTCTGATCAAAAGTCGTTTTCAATGGCATTAAAACGAGAAAAAACGCGGCTGAAGGTTAATCCATAGGTTAATCCAATGTGTCTGTCACTTTGAACAAATTATTGATAATCCATAATTCAATTTTTATGCAAAAATCGGAGAATAAAATTAGCGTGTGTGTTGCAGCTCCGGTTTTGGCTACGCGTCACTCTCACTCCTTATTTGGTAACCTGTGTGTGGATGTGGAACTTTCCCTCGATTCCATTGGCTCTAGCGGTTAAAAAAAGATGTCAATCATCAAAATCGACCAATGGGTTCCAGAGAAACGGCAAAAACGCCCATTTCCACCCAAATGGCCCAGAGGTGGAGGTTTTTTTGCTAAACCTCTCTAAAAATGTCAAATGTCCCTTGTTTTGCATCAATCTTGATACAGGGTACTTATTATATGTTGTACTTTGGATTCCTAAAGCTTTTAGTCTACTAACCCATCATCCAAGGGCAGTTTTCACTATAAATATAAAAAGAATTTTTGGACGGACATTTAGTTTTTTACTATGTTCAATCTGATAATAAAAAACATCTATATTGATTCTGACTTTTCTACATCCAACTCACAGGTTTATCATTACTTTGAGAAAAAAGATTATTCATTTTCCCCTTTTAGAAGTGTAGTTATGGTCATTTGTTCTGGAAATGTCATTTTCGAGCCTGAGACCTGAAAAACAGGCTTGGGGTCTATACCGTTATAAGTGTGCCTTGAGTTTACAACTGATTTTATTTCAAGAAAAGGTATATTTTCTTTTAATCTGGTATGAAAATGACTCATGCCCATACTGCATATCAATTATTAGGGGTGTCACATTGTACATATTGGTATAATTGTTTATAGACCTACTGTATAAGAACATGTATTACAAAGCCTCCTGGAATATTTATTATCTGAATACATTTACATGTATTAGAGGAAGATTAGATTTGCATTACTTGCAAATAAGACAAATGACCCATTGTAAGACTATTATATTGCAAATGAAATCCAGAGTCAGGTGCAAACGTGGGACGAGACAAATAAATACTTCAATAACTATGAATAACTCTATGGACTATTCTAGTCTGAAACCATAAGTGCCATAACAGAGTAAAATTGAAAGGAGCTATATACACAAACAACCTTTTAATACATTTCTGCGCTGAAATAAATTTATTTGTCTGCACATATAGAGTTAAAGTGCTTACAGAAAGGCACTTACTTCTCAGGGACACATTTTTAATAACCTTCTCCAGGTTCTTAAACCTGTGTATCCACATTAGATTAATGGAGTTTGCTCCAGCACTGAGGCTCATTAAAACATAATGCTGCTCTTGTCAAATTGGGAGTCATTAGAAACAAGCATATGACCCACTTTGGGTGCTGATTCTTTGTCTCAGAAAAAAAAGAGCTTTACAGTACCAGAGACATTGGTCCTGTCCTCTGCAGCTGAGTAATGTGTCAGAGAGTAGGGTAGAGTGTGTGTTATTAAACAAGAAAACTCCCCCTGCAGAAGGCCACAGCGACTGATGGATAATTCCTGCCATCTAGCCAGATAGGGCGAGGTTGCAGGTTAAGGTGACTTCAGTATTTCTTGGGGATTTATTAATCTGTTCCTGTTATCTCTGCTCACTTATCAGATGACCTGCTACCCTCATGACAGGTTTCCATTCCTGTGGTCATGTGCACTGTTGACTCTGAGTGCAGGTCTGACATGCAGCTTGCTGAGGCAATGTTGCTGTTAGATAGTTTGGATTGGTCTTGGACGGAGTTAAAGCAAGGTTGTGAAAAGAGGCTTGATAAAACATGTTATTAACAGATCGTGGTTACGTTTGATGATTAGGCAAGACTTTTGGAAAAACTTCCAGAGGGTGATTCATTCTCACAACACAATAATTAAGGCTGGTGTTTAGATGTCGGTAATATGAAAAGTGATGTGTTTGAAAAATCAAACCGCAATGGAAAAACCGACAGGGTCGCTGTTGAACAACATGAACCCTCACTGAGTACTTTTGTTTGACCTACACTTTCAAAAGGAAACTTGACTGAGCTTATTGTACATGATTGTTTACTGTAATGACCTGTTTTCGGGATTATTATATCCATGCACATGAGAAATCATAGCAATTACCCAAATATGTAAGAGAGAACAAATATATTATCTAAGAAAATAGTCTTCTAATGTTCTTTTAACCAAAAAAGTAAATGCTAACAGTTATTAATTGTAGTGGAGTAGAAACATATAGGCAGGATATGGCAATACTCAGGTAAAGTATAAGTATCTTAAAGGGGCCCTATTATGCTTTTTGGGGTGTACCCTTTCCTGTAGTGTAATAAAGGTTTTTGTGCATGTTAATGGTCTAAAATCCCAAAGTTCCCCACTATGTAACAATCGCGTGTCTATATAGCGCTCCAACACATTGTACCTGATGGCTAAGGGGCGGGACATCTCTAAGCGTTTGACAAATCACAACAGACCCAGCCAGCTAACTAATCAGAGCAGACTTGGCTCTGGTTTCAGACAGAGGGTGAAAAGAGGTGCTGCATCACAGGCAGTATAAGAAAAATAAATACCTTTTTGAACATTAAAGCATAACATGAATGCAGTATCTTGTCACAGCAACACAAATGTATTCTGTAGAACTCCAAACAGAAGTAAATAAGTCCAATTCTAATGCTGACTTCTTATATATCAATACAAATATCGTGTTTATGAGCAAAACCAGTTTTAATCAAGGTACAACACTGCGTGATGTTTCTTTTTTGTGGCTGTTACATAAGATCTCAGGTTTCAATGACCCCAAACAGAACATTAGGGTTAATGACTGCTCATTTCCACTCAGTGATAATGAAAGCAGCTTCTAGCTCATACTAAGATATCAATCATAAAAGGAAAGAACCAAACCCAGTGTAAATCTTTTTGCCCTCAAATTCCAATGAGGTTTTAGGTTGTCATGGACCATTAAAGAATGTATGAGTCACTCAGGGTCTCTCCCAATGACCTCTCTTTTGCGCACCCTCAATACCGAAGTCTCTCATATCTCACACTGGTATGTGGATGTTTGTGAGTGTTTGTATGTGTGTGTGTGGGCCCCGGCACAGGACGTTATCTGACAGTGTTTGTGGGAGTCTGAATCACGCTCGTAGTGTCTGCCGGGCAACCTTGACGACATGGCCGTAGGAACAGCGAAATGATGTGTGTGTTTATCTAGCCTACGTGGTGATAGCCCTACGGCCTTGTGGGCAAAGCTCCTATATATACAGGCACTTTCAAACCTCCATAGTTAGAAATCAAAGTCCTCTCTACAGCACGCTCAGCCTTTGGTTGACTTCTCTCAAGAACTTTTACAGCTCAGTCAAACTTTGCATCTTTTTGATCGACTTGCTTTCCCAACGTAATTATTATCTTTAAAGCTACGAGAACAGAAAATGCTGCCTGCAACCTTCAAACTGTGTGCTGGCATCTCTTATCTGCACACGAGGAACATGACAGGTGGGTAAAAGAGACATTGGGGATTTTTCACTCGCCAAGTTGTTTCCGTCCTTTCCTTAAAAACGCATTGTATTTGTGAAGTTCTGCATGGAGCCCAGGTCAGTGGCTAAATGAATAAATTAAGGAAGAATATCAGGGTATACTGTAATAGATCCATGGATTTAGAACTGTAGTAACTGTTTAGTTTTTAACTTTTACTCCCAGGTTTGAGGAAGAATGCCATGGTGGCCATTCACCATGAGCTGAACCGACTGGCAGGTCCCGGCCCGAGCAACTGGATCAGCCAAGTCCGCCGACGAAGCTCCCTCCTCAGTGAGTACTTACATGTGAACACTTGAAACAGAAGAAAAAACGCTGCCATTGAAACTGCACATAAGTCTGAATTATAAACAGATAGTACAATGATTTGCTTGTGAGGTATTTCTCCTAAAAACACAGAAACATAATAATGGAATTGGACTGAAATGTTTTACTCTCTAGGTTCTCGGATTATAGAGGAGGAGGGCTACAGCGAGGAGGAGATGTCTTATTTGAAACAAGGTGAGGATGCACTGCAGAAAGCCATCAGCATCCTTAGCCAACAGGATGGCTGGACCATTGAAACGGTCGCAGTGAGTACAGAGACTGGACACACAGAATAAAATAATGTATTTGACTGCATCATGAATAAATTAAAACGTTGCAGCTGCTGCCACCTTGTGAACAAAGGTTTGACTTTCACAACTTAACGTTTTGATGAGGATATGTAATGTAAACATAATGTTATCAATTGGCATCCGTCCTCAGGCAAACGGAGACAAAGTCCTGAGTAAAGTGTTGCCTGACATTGGGAAGGTGTTCAAGCTGGAGGTGATGTTGGAGCAACACCCTGACAATCTGTACCAGGAGCTGGTGGGAAATATGGAGCAAATGGGGGAGTGGAACCCTAACGTCAAACAGGTTAAGGTATGAGAGATACAGCGCAAGGGGTTGGAATTAGGGCTGCAATTTACAATCACCTTTATTAACGAGTAATCTGCCATATTATTTTCAAGATTAGTAGAACAATTGTTTAGTATAATAGTCAGAAAATATTGAAAAATGTCCATCCCATTCAAGGACACATCTTGAAATGACTAGTTTTCGTCTGCTGATTTAAATTCAGTTTAAAATTTCAACACAAATACCTGACAATTATCATATATGCAAGGAAACAGATAGATTTTCACAATTTTGTTCAACAGATCCTTCAAAAGATCGGCCAGGACACAATGGTTACCCATGAGGTCGCTGCAGAGACCCCTGGAAATGTGGTGGGGCCGAGGGACTTTGTCAGCGTCCGCTGTGCCAAGCGCCGTGGCTCCTCCTGCTTCCTGGCAGGAATGTCCACTCAGCACGCGAAAATGCCCGAGCAGAGGGGGGTGGTGAGGTAAGTGCCCACATCGTTTATTTGTTGTGATATCTGCATGCATCATATTACATTATTCATGTACCATGAGTGGAGTATGTCATGTATCTATGTCTGACACTAGTTTGCAATGGAGTAATGGATATACCGTACCACTTTTACATTTAAATCATCCTATTTTTAAGAGCGGAGAATGGACCCACCTGTATAGTCATGAAGCCCTGTGTTGAAGACCCAAATAAGACCAAGTTCACCTGGTTACTCAGCATAGATCTAAAGGTAAATACCTGCCGTGTCTACCTTTGTATTTCCCACAGTAACCACAGTGATTACCATTAAAAATAATACAATAATTAAGATTTAAAAACAAGATCTAATACAATCTTTGTCATCTGCAGGGCTGGATCCCGAAGACGATCATAAACAAGGTGCTCTCTCAGACGCAGGTGGACTTTGCCAATCACCTCCGGCAACGGATGGCTAATAACGTTTCTATGGAGATGGCTCATGCCTGCTGACACAAAGCGCCTCTTGAGCTTTGGCACAGTGCGCTCAACAGTGGCAGAGGAGCAACCCCTGCTCATTAAAAAATCATAGAAATCTGCTCTCAACTGCTGTACCACTACGCAAATCCAGAATGTATCAAAGGAGATTGGATGAAGATGATGCTTGTCTGAGATCTTAGGAAAATATGTTGGTTTCAATTGGAAATTGTGTTTTTCATACCCTTCTTAATAGATAATCTGTCAAAAACGTGTGCAGTGAAATGTTGAACAAACGGCACATTGTTTCCATCTAATAACCCCCCCACTTGTTGCCCTTCCTCTGCTGAGAAATTGCACCTTTATTTTACTGTTTTATTTATTGATGTTGCGCTGATGCCATTACAATGACCGCAAAGAAAATAAATAATTGCAAAGTCATTGGTGTTTATGTTTTTATACTTTTCTATTATGCTGTTTAGTTAATGATTACTCTCTCCTTTCCTGAAGCATGGGAAGAACCGTAATAAAAGCTCATAACACATTTCAATGGTTAAGCTTAATTAAAAAGATAAAGAATAAAAAAACACAAACAATTACTGAAATTCTTCTCCTAAGAAAATTCACAAGCAAAACTGAAAACCGAGAACTGATCTTAGAAACTAAATAGCAACTGCACAATCATTCCACTTTGACAGGAAGGAGATGTATACATTCAAAGTATATTTTTCAAACCATGAGATACATGGCTTGTCTTCCTGTTCCAAGATGGGTTTTCAGACTGACATTTTGCCAAAACGAGCAGGTGTTTGGCAATTCAGAGGTGTAAGAAAACCCAGCAGCGAGCATTGTGTCGTTCAGAGCCAGCAGCACATTCCCCAAGATCGAGTAACGGTGGATTTCATCCCAAACAAGAAATCTGTCTTCCATTAATGCAAGTTGCATAACCTTTTTTTCTATTTTGTGTGTCGATCCAAAAGGTTTTGCAACAGCTAATTTTTCTTACATGCATAGTGCAGAGGAATATGTCTCACTTTATGTCGCACTTGCTAAAGTTGAAATATGAAGTGAGCTGACTGTAACCTGGTAGGCTGTTATCTCATTTTCTGAATTAAGGCCTAAAGCTCCTTACACACCAAGCCGATTTTCGGCGTCGATAGATGTCGGGCCATCGATGATTGTCGTGCCGACACCTTCCGCCGCCGATTCGACATGTTGAATCGGGAGGCCGTTCCGTCAAGACGTGTTCTTTGGTGTTCTTTGGTGTGTAAGAGGCGTAAAGGTCCTTACACATCAAGCCAATTTTCGGCGTCGATAGATGTCGGGCCGTCGATGAGCGTTGTGTCGCCCTACTCAGATTGGTGTGTCTTGGTGTGTACTGCATCGTCGTGTCTTTTCGGCTGTGCCGACACCTTCCGCCGCCGATTCGACATGTTGAATCGGGAGGCTGTTGGCTAAAGGCCGTCGGCCAAAGAAATCACTCTGATTGGCTGTTCAGCTTAGCGAATCAGTGCATAAGAAGCTAAACGGAAGTGAGGGACCCAAACAAACTATTAAGAAGGCAAATCTGAGATTTCATTGAACTCCAGCTCTCGGCACAGGTTCGGGAAAGCCCCATGAGCTTCTCGCTGTAGAGTGAAAATGGAACGCACACGCTATTGTTGTTTGTTTAAATCACACAGTCTGTTCTTCTTCTCTCGGTGTATCACGCAGTCTGTCTTCCGGTTGTTGCCTCTTTTGAATGACGAATACACACTACCGCCACCTGCTGGTAAGGAGAGTTATTGCCACTCACGCATGCGCAGTTCGTACGTGCAACTTGGCCGTCGGCTGAAGTCTGTGCGGTCTGCGGTGTGTTCCAGTGCGAAACATGGCCGCGACGCGACGACGTGAGGCGACTTTCCGTCGGGACGTGTTCTTTGGTGTTCTTCTTTGGTGTTAGTTTGGTGTGTAAGGACCTTTAGATAAATGTGCACTTTGGTTGATCCTGACTCCATTTTCCTCTAAATAATACAAATTTCAGCAGAATAGTTCAGAGGGCTGCCTTGTGCAATACAAAACAAACATTGTTTTTGCCCTGAAAGAATGTTCAACAGGGTAACAATTGACATCTGCTTATTATCCCTCAAAATCTGAACACAAGCAGATGTGAGGAGAGTTGTTGCCACTTTTTAGATCTTGTTCCATTATTTGTGAAAGGGAGAGGAATGGAGAAAATCTGGGGGAAGAATGGAATAATATGATCCACTGCCGAATACGTTGTATAATAAGAACAGGAAGACAAAACATGCTATTTGGCAGTCACATCAAATCCCTGGCACTGATGACAGCCCTTATTAAATCTCTGTTTTTTTCTTCTAGTTTCCATCTATGCGTCCTTGACTGAAATGCATCTCCAAACAACAGCTTTTATTTATTTGAGCAGATGTGGAAGAAGTACTCAGATCGTGTACTTAAGTAAAAGTTGATGCACTATTTTTTCCTGTTTTTCTGTTTTATTGTGTTGCACTGTTGGAGGAGCCTATGACCTAAGATTTTCATCGTCATAACTACACTGTAGCTATGTTCGTATGACCAATAAAAGCCTTGAACCTTGTTGAAGTACCAGAGTATACTGTCTGTTACAAGTAAAAGTCCTGCTATCAAAAGGTTACTCAAGTAAAAGTACAATAAGTATTAACATCAAAATATACTTAAATTAATAAAAGTAAAAGTACTCATTATGCAGATTGGCCCATTTCAGAAAATGTGTTTTGATTGTAATTATTGATTCATTTAAGAGTTATCGAAGCTAAACTAATTTAATATTTCACATCATACAAATTTGCAAAGTAAAGGTATTACATGTAGTGGAGTAAAAGTACACAATACTTTATACCTCTGAAGAAGCACAAAGTAGTAAAATGTGTAAATATTCAAGTAAAGTACAAATCCCTCAAAATGTTACTTGAAAACAGTAGGTTAAATCTACTGAGTTACTTTACATCGCTGCTTTTGAGGAACAAGTAATTGCACTTTATAAGCTTTCTGGAGAAATGGGTTTAACAAAAATGTGTACTATAAACCATTTTATGATGAATAAATTCATACTTTTCTCTTTACTGTATTTTAACAAGAAGAGAATCTGTGCTGAAGGGAGGTGTGGAAGGAAGTCACACAACTCTCCTGTCTTCAATATCTGTGAGAGAGAGAGAGAGAGAGAGATAGAGAGAGAGAGAGAGAGAGAGAGAGAGAGAGAGAGAGAGAGCGAGAGAGAGAGAGAGAGAGAGAGAGAGCGAGAGAGAGAGAGAGAGAGAGAGAGAGAGAGAGAGAGAGAGAGAGAAATGACGTAATGAAGTTACAGTCCGACAGGGAACCACAATTCCCATGATGCATTTGAAATTACCGTGGCCACTGGACGGGGGAAGGGAAGCTGAGATTGGAGGGAGAAACAGTCAGAAACTGAGGTACTTTTAAAACCCTTTATAATATATTGTAATATTTTCGGATATGCCATACCACGCAGTGTTTTGTAGCGTTTTTAAAATCTGCCTTGGAGACAAAAGAAGTTTAATTCGTATGGTGCTGTCGGATTTGGGACTCCATCCCCGTTACAGTTCAATAGAGCTACAGCTAGCCCGTTAGTTAGCCTGACAGCTGGCTTTTCTTCTGTTAGCTACGTCTCAGCTACTTCAGTGCACTTGATATTCATGACATTTAACACGAGTTGTTTTTTCTTATGTGTTTTCTAAGGTCTGGTTTGCATGCAGGTTTTTCAAGCAGTGATTTCTCTGTGTGAGGAGAAGCTGTAGCTACGTCTTTGTGCCTGCGGGGTTGCTACTGTAGCTGACATATTGCTAGCTTGTCGGTTGCTATCATAATGTAAGCTAGCCGAGGTTGCTACTGTAGCTGTCAAAGCGGCGATGTGTTCAACTGTCATCGGATAAAGTTGGACTGTTTCCAACATTTTCGGATGTATGTCCTGGCTCTGAGCATGGACTCAGCAGTGCTGGACTTTGACAGTAAACGATAACACATTTTAGGCATACAAAAAAAATCTTGCTGTGATTCAGACAGTAATGGAGGAAGTCCTCAGATCCTCTCTCGAGTAAGAGTAATATTTCTGTACTGTAAAAATACTCCATTACAAATCAAAGTCATGCATTTTAAATATTTCAGCAGTTATATTATTTAATATGTTGTAATATACAACTTGTACTGTACATAGTTATTTCCATTTAATGTTTTATAGTAGTACAATGTATTAGTTTTATTGTACTGCATTGTACACATTTTGACACTTAAATGTCAAAAATTAAAGTACGTAATGTAAAACAAAAATGTGTCTTTTACAGTTGAATAATTCAATTATTGATAACATCAAATCAGCTATTTATTGTTTGAGATCATTTTTTTGACGATTTAACATGCTAATGATATTTTAATCCATAACAGCATTAAATTATATACGCTCTTTATATCTTATGTATGTACAATCCTAACTTTCAAATAAAGGTGGTAAAATAAAAACTGAATTTCTTTATTGTAGTGTAGAAAAAATTGCATTTTAAGTAAAGTACAATTATCTCAAGTATAGTAAACGAGTAAATGTACTTTTTGAAGGCCACTAAATGTGGGTTGCTCTGTGAAAAATGACATACGAAGACAATAAAAACAACACTTTTTGTTAATATAGCTAAAAGTTCTAATTTGATAGAATTATTTTTGATCCTTTTTGGCATGATTAAACCTATTTCTTTCACATTTTTCTTAAGTTATATGAACAATCATGTTAATAATATTGAGTTATGTGTGCAGTTTAATGATTATTTTTGTTTTAGTTTTCAGATATTGTGTACATATGACAGCCCCTGCTCTGGACTCTGAACATTCAATAACTCTATCCATGACCCCCATCTCACTGGAAATCTTCTCATCTTACGTTGGACGCGTGCTGATGTTTCATGTGAGGCTAAAGACACAATAAACCCAGCCAAGTCAATTAAACCTTACTGGTACCTCTGTGTGCGCACTGGATTTGTCTCTTGAGTGCCAAAGTAATGAAGACTCCTGGACGGGGAGAGCCCAGTCCTGAAAAGCAATGTCATCCTTCCACCTTCTGTGTACGTGTGATGGAGCTGAGGAGTGGACCCAGTGGCCAAGAAGATCTGCGGAGGAGAGGAAGGAGGCAGGTTTCCAGGAAACTTGTGCATTGATGGATTGCAATTTCCTCCCGTCAGCTCTTGTAGACTGATACCTGCACATTCCTATCAGCGTACGCACTCAAGGTTACACTTTAGAGTAGCTAATAAAACAAAGCTGCCATCAAAAACCACACAATCATCGTGGATACACAGATGTGCACATTATGGATTTCTTCTGCCAGTGACAGTTTGTGGAAATCACACTAGGGGGACTGTGGACGTTGAGTTCTGTGTGTATGAAGGAGAAAAGCATAAATACTTGCCGTCACTACTAATGTACACTACAGAAACCATGGTGGTCCTTGCATCGGCTCCTCAGCCCATCGTCGTCCACGACTACAGCAGCCTTTAGAGGCCGGGATCAGGAACACGCTCGCCAGCCAACACACTCGTATGCAATGGAAGAAGACATTGATGTCACACCCCACACTGAGGTACTGTTGTTTTACCGTTTAGTCTTAACGTTTGTGATCGTTTAATCGTATTCCAGTGTTTGGGTTGACAGCAAGCTAACACCATTAAGGCTGAAGGCAACACCTGCTGTGTTGGTCAACAGAATCAAAGTAGGCGCTTTATCGCTGCTGCCATAGTGAGGTAGCCAACTTCAGGTACAGAGATGCAGCGTGACTACCCAATAAGATGATTGACGGATTGACTCCAACTTTTACAATAATCTTTCAAGTAATATGTCATGCAAAAAAAGCTGAATAGCTGCCTTTTTAGTCTCTTAAATATTTGTGATTGTACCGTACTAAATATCTTTGGGAGTCCGACTGACATAACAAGCAAGTCTCACATCAGTCTTAAAGAAACTGAGATGGATATTTTTACTATTTTCTGACATTTTCTAGATAAAACAATTATTAGTTGCAGCCCTACTCATGGATAAATGTTCCTTTCCTGCTCCACAGTGTTGTATCAATGAAGAGCTAATTAGTTTAAGCAGTTCTGTCACATGTGTTTAACTTAAGGCCTAAGGTTAACAGTTCACCCTCGGCGTTAGCTCTAATCTCTGGACCGACTTGCTTGGCATGTTGCTTTGGCAACAGCTGAGAGGGTATTTCTCTTATCCCGAGCTTGATTTCCTCGCCGTAACATTACTTATTGCTCCGTGGCCTCTATCCTTGAGTATTGTTTCCTATGTAAACAGTTGTATAAGTATGTCTCCTGCCTGGCTGGATGCAACGTAACAGGGCAGGGAAGGCTTTCCCTAAAGGGAGTGCACCTTTTTTAATGAACTAATCTACCTACCACCTTTACTACCAGCAGAGGAAGCATCCTTATAAAACAGAAGCAGTGAAGTGTTTGCAACCATTTTCTTGTTTTAATGAATATTTTTCACAAGTTAGTTTTACATTTCAGGGATGCCATAAAAAAGAGGAAATAAAGAAGCATGTTAATGAATTGCCTGTCTTCTGTGAGCGCTGCACAGGCTTTACATTGTGGGCATGTCTGAAGCATCTGCTCTGTGTTGCTGTTCTTGTGTTAGGGCCTGAATGGTTTGTCCCACGAATGTAAACCATTAGAGGAAATCACCAATGGACACTCCAACCATAAGCCTGTGAGTAAAAATCACCCCCTTGATTTATTCAAATGAGTTTTTCCTTGCAAGTATTTTATCTAGGAATTAACAATTTCAACTTTCTTCTCAGGTCATGAACGGACTGATAATTAGTCATAATGTCAAAGAGCAGACCAACGGCAGCGCACCACTCAGATCCCTGCCGGTAATTCAATTTCATCCCAAGTATCTGACTGTAGCCAACATCTCCCTCCTCCTTTTAGATGTAATGTAATTCATTCCTTGGTAATTGTCCAGATTTCAGCACTGAAGCAGAATGGTCTTCTTCAGACTCTGGCAGCCGGGGGGGACCAGCCTCAGCTTGCAGGTAACACACACATACTCTCACACAACCTCTCTATTGTCTCACATCCTCTTCCCACAGGAATGTGAGAAGTGTATCCTAGATACCAGCCAGGTAGAGCCTTTCCCAAGGGGTGCAGGTTGCCTGCTTCGGGGAAGCAGAGGGTCTCAGTGGCCCTCTTAGTGATGCAGGCATGTTAGACAGGAGGGATTTATGACTGAGGATGAACTGGAGGGGTGTCAGCTGATGCACCACAGCACATTACTCATCTCCCCTCATCAGTGCTTCTAGTCACGTTAGTGTGTGAGCGTTTGTGTCACAATTGGGTTTATTAGTTTGTTTTCTTACCTTGCTTTTTAAAGAAGTGAATGGATCAGGTCCTCCCTACATGCTGGACATGGATAAATCATAGACTCAAGCACGTGCACTGTTCTCTGCATCAACCTATCGTCTCGCTGCTCCCTCTCTGCAAATCAGACGCCTTCACAAAACCATGCATGTTTGCTATCCTGGCTCCAAAACGATCGAACGAGCTCCCCATTGATATCAGCACTGGTGAAATCTGTTTCCACTGCACCTTGGTCCAAAAATAAATAAGGATGTTTCTCTTCTGCACGTAGCACTTACAAAAGTTTTCATTATTTGAAGCCAATGCAGTAGCACTTACTGATAATGTACCTGCAGGATTATTTCTTTTTAGGTTGTAGGGCGCTTTGGATTAACGCGTCAGCAAACGAAATATATACCATGTAACTTAAAATCTTCTCTACAGAGGAAAATGTGGAGTTGGAAAAGGCCAGAGAGGAGTGGGAGGCTCTGGAGAACGTCCAACCAGGTCAGAAGCATCTCCCTGTTTCACCCGTTTGCATTCAGATTGATGAATTCTTTAGTCTGTAAATTGCTGTTATAAAGATTTATTTTTATGTAACATCCCCCAGCTCTCACTGAGGACTCGAGCCCAACCCCGATCATCTCCTTTAATGAAGCCTTGCAGTACTTCCAGACCACAGACCTCGGGGATTTGCTGGTATGAAACGCTGCATAACCAAACTCTCAAATATAAGCTGATATCTCAATAACAGCCAACGCTCAATATTTGCTGGGGGATCAGTCTGTTGGAACAGAAATTCAGCATAATGTACATTTCCACAGCATTACATCTACCAGTTGAACATTGTTTTGCTATATACACACACTCTTCACAATAAAAGCTTTGCAGGGATGGAAAGGGAACTGCTGGAAGCATTTCATTGTGAAAGTTTACATTAACAGCAGACACAAGCAACACCAAGATAACATGGCAAAGAAACGCACATTATAAATCAAATAAACACCGATGTCAGCCGTGTGTGGGGTAAACTAAAAAGTGTTTTTGTATAAAAGAGGGATACACATACTGTGCTTACAGCAACAAAAATAATCAAGTCGATTAAAATAATGGTACTGGTCATTCTGATCATTTATTTCAATAGGAATCATATACTTTATTTGTATGTATCAGTGGATTATTTCTATTGATAGCTCTAAAACCCCCCCACACCCCTTTACTTCTCGGTAGAAGAACATCCAGCCCACCATTCGCAGGACCGGTCTGGCCGCGATCACACACTTCCTGTTCGGACCTCCACGGCTGCACAGGGAGCTGCTGGAGGAGAGGGACCTGGTGTTTGCCATCGCACAGTGTGAGTGTGTGTTTGCCAGTGTTATCTGCTAGCTGTGTCTCAAACGCATGAGTGTTGTTAATTTTGTCAGAAATACATTGAATTTAGTGTGTGAGTCTAACCAAAGAGCCCCCCATGACTTTCTGTCATGTCCTGTTGTTATCATTGTCAACAATAAGTTAAGTAAATCAATTACTCAGAGACTTGTATTAAGTATGTTGTCTCTACAATGAAAATAAAGACAGATTTTGATAAGTTTTTTATTTTTTGTGCTACATTTTATTCATGTATTTTTTCTTTAAAAAAGATTCCATGTTAATACAGTCACCGTTTGCTATATGATGTCAGTGCCGACTCAACATCGTTTCAACAAGCATATCAAGTAATAGTTTTTGGTTTAAAAATAACAGATTTTGATTCCTATATATCTGTGTTTTTCTACAGGCCATGTGGACAACAGCCAAACCGTCCACATGCGTGTCCTCCAGACCATTTATAAGAGGCTGATAGGCAGCAGGCTGGACTGTCCTCGCTTCGGGGCGCACTGGGAAAACATCGGCTTTCAGGGTAAGACTCCTGCACACACCATACTGCACGTATAGGTTCAGGTCTGTGGATACTCATATTAAATTGGGCGGCGGGTTTGCTGGGGCTTTCTTGAAATATATTCTCATTCACATTTCCAAATATCAGTTACTTTCACTTCATCTGTCAATCCTTCCTTCCCAGTGTTTGGAGGAGTGAAACTGGAGAACAGAGGAGATTAATGATTGTGTGAAATTTGAGCAGCAGCGCTCATCATTCAGCTGCAATGTTACACTGTAGTGAACTGCTCTTTGATTTCACAATGTTATAGCTTTTCATTGTTAAGAAATGTAAAGTGCATTAGTGAAAGTCTAGCAATATGAAGTATTTCCACTCTAAACAAGTAAACGGCATGTTTGTATGTGTTTCTGCAGGTACAGACCCAGCCACTGACCTGCGTGGCACTGGTTTCCTGGGTCTGATGCATACGCTGTACTTTGTGATGGACCCAGAGACTCTACCGTTGGCTAGAGACATCTACAAGTTATCACAACACCCCACACAGGTATCAGCAGCTCAGACACACGTCCACTGGGCAATGAGCTCGTACCAGAGGCAGCTCATGTGTGCATGCAAGTATTTTATTTGGGAATCACATTTCACTAATCCTCCAGAGACACTGAAACACCTCCCACTGCCGGCGAGCTGCTGTAAGCTGACCCTGACCTTTGACCTCCCTGCAGAGAGATCTAGAGCAAAAGGAGAATTTCCCCTCAGGGATCAATAAAGTCAGCTTCAAGACGATCTTGTTTTTTCTTGTAACCTCTGAAAGTACTCTGTGTGGACTCAAAATTCCTTGTGTATTTCCTCGGTTTTAGAACTTTCCATTCAGTGTGATGTCAATCAACATGACCCGCATCGCTCTGCAAGTACTCAGAGAGGAAGCTTTGTCAAAGTGAGTCACTGCTCCTCACTTTGGTTTCTCTTACTTCTTGAGTTTTGGCTTGCAATATTCTTGTCACACACGGCCTCTTCCCCAATGCTCTCTCTCTTTGGTCTATCAGGGAGTGCAATCGTCGTCAGCAGGTGGTCGGTGTTCTCAATGACTTCTACGTTGCCACGTATCTGCACCTGTACCAACTGTGGAAGACCCAACAGAAGACCATCGTAGACTCTGGCTTTGTACTAAAAGGTAAAGAAAATGGTATATCGTTTCTACTGTAACTCAACACTTTGAAATCATGCTTTTTATTGTATTAGTGCTGAGACCAATCAAACCCTTTAATTATGCCTGCAATCATTTTATTTTGTGTCTTTACTTTAGCCCTTAGGGTCCCATTGACATACAGAAATTCCTAAAATGAAGCTCAGACTGAATATTGGGGAAAAAAACTGGCAGCTGGCTTTTGCTTGGTATTGAATGCTCATAGATGCAAGTTGTGGTATCAATGTTTTCATGTAATCTTCTAAATCAGGGCTTTTCAAAGTGTGGGAAGGTGAGCCTCCCCTCAGAGAACATAAGAACAGCCGTGCCCCCCCTCCCAATTATTATTGCTATTATTATTATTATTATTATTATTGTTGTTGTTGCTATAATGCAGGGGTATTATTATCCAGTGGAAAGCCCTTACCTACTGGCCTAGTTAAATCAAAGTGGTTACTTTTTTTTGGCTGGGCAGTGTAGTTTTACACACCGTCTTATTTGACTTTCTCAGGACTTAAAACTGTTTTTTGGGGGCAGACCCCCTCAAAGAAAAAAATATATTTACACACGTAAGGTCATCATCTTAACAGTTTGTTATGCTCATCGAGTCATCCGTGAGCAGAGCATCAAGTTGGCATGTCTATTACAGCTGAATGTGGCGATTACCATCTTGTTCAGCAAAACGCCTCACAAACTTATTAAGATTTAAAGCTATGGTGTGTTTTGATTCAATGCTGAGTACAGCCAAACTTGACAGTCTCTTCTCTGTCATTGTCGACCGCAAATACCTCATTCCTTCTGTGTACTTGGGGTCCGAATGCGCCGTGCCGTTCAAATAAAATCGCCAATCACATTTCCTGGCTCGCGCCAGGGCCGGGGGAGGGGTTACAAGGCTCGCGTCTTGTGCTGCATTCACTTGCACTCGGACATTAGAGACTCATAAATGTCCGATGAGCCACAACTTTTATTTCAAAAGAAAGCTGACGTTTTCTGCCAGACGCTGTCACTCTTTCACTTTAGGTAACTTCACTAAAAATCGATCCATGTTGCCGCTCGCATAAAGTTAGCTGAAGTTAACTAGCTAGATTTCACAGTTTCTCGTTATTTTTTTCTCACGCTGTGCCTCCCCTGAAGCTCTCTGGCGCCCCCCAGGGGAGGCGCGCCTCACACTTTGAAAACCGCTGTTCTAATTGTATCAGTCAATAGGTCAATACTCAGTTTGCAGGAGCTCAGTTAAACACAGATTGTCCTCCCGGCACAAGTCCCACAGTGTCTGTCTGTTTAACCCTGCAGAAGTGGAGTTGTTTGCCAAAAAGAACCCGAAGCAGATGCTGCGCCGACTAGAGGTCTTCCTGAAAGAGAGGCGGGCAGGTGGGGCCCCCCGCGGGACGTCGCCGGACCCTCAGGCCCAGCAGCCCTCTCCCAGCCTGGGGGCCAGGGCCGGATCGGGACAGGGGAGCAAAGGAAAGGAGATGCACTTCACAGGAGTGTGTGATCTACCGCCAGACATGGAGGGAGAGGCCAGACTCATCTAAGCTAGACTCTCTGTGTGTGTGTGTGTGTGTGTGTGTGTGTGTGTGTGTGTGTGTGTGTGTGTGTGTGTGTGTGTGTGTGTGTGTGTGTGGTGTGTGTGTGTGTGTGTGTGTGTGTGTGTGTGTGTGTGTGTGTGTGTGTGTGTGTGTGTGTGTGTGTGTGTGTGTGTGTGTGTGTGTGTGTGTGTGTGTGTGGTGTGTGTGTGTGTGTGTGTGTGTGTGTGTGTGTGTGTGTGTGTGTGTGTGTGTGTGTGGTGTGTGTGTGTGTGTGTGTGTGTGTGTGTGTGTGTGTGTGGTGTGTGTGTGTGTGTGTGTGTGTGTGTGTGTGTGTGTGTGTGTGTGTGTGTGTGTGTGTGTGTGTGTGTGTGTGTGTGTGTGTGTGTGTGTGTGTGTGTGTGTGTGTGTGTGTGTGTGTGTGTGTGTGTGTGTGTGTGTGTGTGTGTGTCTCTCTGAGAGATAAACCCCACCAGTCCCTGCTCTAGGACCTGCTATCTGAACCTATTCAAACACTTCCACTCCTTCCTCTGACGCTGGGGTGCTGCACTTTGATCAGATTAAGCTTTCAGAGTTATATTTGATTTATTTTTTGTTATTAATGATTACATTTTTTTTTTTTTTAAACATAGAACAGTTGACTATAAGGAGCTAAAGCAGGTTAGAAACACAGCAAGTGATTTTTTTTCTTTTGCACTTTTCTGTGAATTTAGTAGCCAAATCGATAGCTGCCAAATTCTTGTGGTTAAATCCTAACCTGCCTAGATGTCCAAAACGTACACTTGTGTGTCCCTAGGGTCCCTCAGTCAGGGTGTTAACATGTAGAAGAGGGAGGGGCTTCTCCTCCCTTGCTCTGAGATACAGCGCCATCACACGAGCATGCTAACAGCTCATTATACATACTGTTAAACGCTCTGTTAACTTTATGGTGATACTAGAGAAATGAACCCGTTTCCAGCCGTGCTACAGGGGGGAAAGAGGCAGGTTTTTCTCTCGGTGTGAGTGGGGAGCGGCAGATCGAAAAACCCAGGGAGGTTACAGAAGATTTTAACAAAATAGACTTTGAACGCAGCCTGCTTTGAAGGTCCGGTCTCATGCATTCTCTATTAGAGCGTTAATGAAATAAATGTCTTGTGAAAGATGTGGACGCTCAGCCCAGATGTGTGGGGGTAGAGCCAGGTGTTTCATGGTGTGTGTTGCCAGGGGTCTGATAGACTAGGTCCAGAGCTTCCACGTAATGTGGGGGAATATATTTTAAATAATAAAAAAACAAAACTATTTTAGTCTTTTCTGAAGGGACAGCGGACCATAACTTCACAGTTATGTTAAAGCACTGTAGAACTTTGTTATGAAACTTGATGACTTTGTGGCCGTTAGAAGGGTTTTGATTTATCCCATCAGAACGTATGAAAATCTTTTTGCGGTTCAAGCCAAGGAGACACGTCATAACAGAGTCTGTGCGCTCGGCTCGGTCCCGGATAAAATCGAAGGTCTGGTATGAGCTTTCTCTACATTCCGTTATAAAGCATGTGATTGTATGTTTTCTTTGACAGTTAAACATTTATTCCAGTGTGTGTGTGTGTGTGTGTGTGTGTGTACGCTTGTGTGTGTGATGTAATGAATGAGCTGATATTGATGAAGGGTGCCTCTCCTCGGAGATGTATGGTACAGTATGCAATCCCAGCTCTCACTCAATGATAATCAAAACGATTTTGCTGTGTGACGATGGAAATCGTTCCTAACTTCAGGGTTTGTGCGCTTGTGCGAGTGAATGTGTTTGTGTGGGCGTGTGTGTGTTTGTTGTATGACAGGAACTGACTACAGATGGGGTGCTTTCCTCTGCACACAATAAGCCAGCTTTACTAAGTACTTGATCCATCAAGCTGCAAAGACGGTAAATTTTGTCGTTTTAAAAAAATGGTACAGAACATTTCTTAGGGCAAAATTTACCCAATAAACTAAGAACACATTATTTGGGTGAAAAAAAAAACAGATGTTAGTTTTGAACACAGCTGGCGGCTGGGATGGGTAGAGCTCCTCAGCAAAGCTGGTTCCTTCTTTGTGCTAATGTGAAACCGTCCCCCATCGTTGTAGTCTTGATCTGTAGCATGTTCAGGTAGCACTAGTACTGTAGCATCCTATAGCCTCCTCCTCTTCGTAAAGCTTGTTGATGTCATGTCTCAGTTACAGTCCGTAGTGTCAATGGGTGCGCAAACTGTTACTACTATAGCACATTTATTTCGTATTTGCATCAGGCCTCCTTCAGTAGACACACATTTAGGTGGCGCAGCGTCTGTTTCGGAGAGATGTGGGATAGGCTTGACGTGTTATTGAGCTCACCCTTGTCTTCTAAGAAGGTAACAGAAAAAACGGTGCCTACGTCCAGTGGAGGCACGAGGGGTAGAGCGCTGGTTTGTCCTTGCTTCCTTTTTGTTTTGTTTCATTTGAGCCACCGTGCCACATTAGACTTCCTCCGTTCATGTAACGCAGTAAACAGAGTCGATGTGACCCCCTAAAACATGCAGGCCTAAAGGGTATATACATAAAGACACACTATGGTCCACTCGGATAGTTTGCCATCTCCGTTCTCCACGAAATATCTTCAAAAAATGAGCTGATGTAGTTTAGCCAATTGTTTGCAAGTGTTTTGATCGAACAGGAAAATTTGCACTGTTGTAGATATTTGATAGTGTGTGTGACGTATGCAAGAGGAAACAGGCCATCTTCAATAGCCATAATGTCCATTATCGCCCACCTCATTAAACTTCGTGGAGTCCTCCCTCTAAAAAGAAATTGCACCATATATTTGATTTCACATTTAGTTTTATGACATTTTTAAACTGAGGCGCAGTACAGTGTATGTAAATCAGGAAGTTTGTATATAGAGAATTAATGATTGTAACTGTATGATTGTCTGTAGGGCATTATACTGAAACACATTGCTTACCTCAAGACTTGAGACAAATCTCTCTTTTCTCTCTCCTGACGTTTGTTTGGCCTCTCAGTCAGACTCTTTCTTTTTTTTTTACGTTTCCTTGTACCTAGGCCTTCTCTCATACCATTTGGACATGTTATATATTGTATAATCTCCTCCTGAACCACTATGGTATCGCAAACTAACACAAAAGCTGGTCAATGTTATGTGTAATCTATTTAAAGACACATTTATAGACACTATATAGGCCCACACGCGCTCATCTGCAGATGATAAAATCCTTTTTTAAATGATCTATAATTGGCTGATGTTTGAAATAAAGCTGGGTTTCTTGTGGCTTCAGTGATAGTACAGTATACATTTTGCTGTGTTTAAGTGTTTGATGTCCGGAAAACACTCAGAAACAATCCAGTGGGTACAGCTACAGTCACAAACAAATAAATATATGATTGTAAAGATATACGTTTGATTAGGAGTCATAATACAGTGTATGCTTTGACCTTGGTATATATTCAGTATCCAAACAAGGCCTGATTTATCCTCTCATATTACCAAAACTTATATTTTTAGCGGTTCTAATAGATCATATTCTTATGCGTTGATTATCGTTTCAAATCTCCTCAGTTGTGAAACCAGAACCAAGAGAAAAAAGAAAAAGAAAACGGGTTCTTGCAGGATGTCGGATGCTCTGAGAGGTGTGGTGTGAAGTTCAGCCGCTCGGCAAATACAATCACTTCTCTAAATATCCTGCGCTTTATATGAAGGTGTTTTACTGTTGCCGTCGTCGTCATGTCCCTCAGAGCATTTTATGACTGTACCTTGATTGTAGAAGCCCTATTTTATACTGAGAGTTATTTCAGAATACAGTATGTGCTGTTTTACATTAAATGTATTGTATGGAGAAAGCTAAATAAATGCTGTTAAAAAAACTAAAATATTTTCTCTGTGACTTCTTATTGAATTTAATGAATAATTATACTGGAATGTACTGTCCATCAACTCCACATTACATACACATTTGTATAGATAAATACATAGTTTTTTCCCTTACAGATCAATGTACTTTGCCATGTTGTGACAGCATGGTTTCATAGCCAATTACATTTCTCAAAGAAGATTTAATACATTTCGTTTTCCTAGATCTCCTGAAGCTTTCTCACCACCACTGTCATTTCTATGGCTGCAACTTAAAGTTATTGAAACGATCAATCTCTGATGATTACTCTTCCATTAAATGATTCAATGTGTTTATTAATTGTTTTGAAGTGTAAAAAAGGCATAACAATTCCTGAGAGCTCAGTCACGTAGAGGACAAAAAGAAAATAAGCAAATCCTAAAGAGGCCCTGTTATTGTTTTTGGGGTCTTCCCTGTCCTGTAGTGTGTTATAGGTTTTTGTGCTTGTAAAATGGCCCGCAAAGACTAAAATCCCTGTGTTCCCTCCAGAGGGATTAACCCCCACGCCCCCCCCCCCCCCTGCCTGAAACGCCTCCATTGAACTCGTTTGTATACCTCCATAACATAATGACATCAATATGTAACACTCGCACTTCTATTGGCCAGTGCTCCAGCATGTTGTAGTGATAGGCTAAGGTGCGGGATAACAGAGCCAGCCAGCTAACCAATCAGAGCAGATTGAGCTCTGGTTTCAGACAGAGGGTGAAAAGATATGCTGCAGCACATTAAAGCATGTAAACATGTCTCAGTAGAAGCACAATATACAAATATTACCTGAAAATTAGCATAAAAGCGCCCCTTTAACATTTCAGAAGAAAATGTTTTTAATGTCTGCTCGATTAAACAACTAAACAAGTGCTCATTGTTTCAGATTAATCTTCTTCAAAAATCAATTAACTTTTGTTTCAACACTATCAACATCTTTTTTTAGCTATTCTTGGTGCAATAGTGCAACGACTGTAAACAGCTCACTCAGAAATCATTCTGTAAAATTATAGTTTGAATTGAGACACAACAATGGTTTATACTGGGTCTCTAGCTTTTCTGGAATTCAACCACTAGAGAGCACCCTTTTATACATTTGCAACTAAAAAGACCAAATCTCTAAGAGAACATGCAAGTCCACAGGTGCTACGTTTTAACAGGGTGCTTTATGTATCATTGCACTATAAAATGGCCTCATCTACACTAAAAAAACGAATCTTGTTCAGTGGCAGGCATTAAAGTTGTATTTACGATCCTT